ACGACGACTCTGGTTTGGGTATGATAACGAATTACCTTGTGCCTGTTTAAACAAGAATCATGATTGACAAACTTATAACACGTGTAGAGGATATTTTTTCAAGTGAAAATGTGATGCATAAGAGTAACGAAATATAGACCCTGAACATCTTCGCCGCTAAATTTTAGGGCTAGAGCGGCCATGCCTTGTCCAAGTGGTCTTCATAGTGTTCGTCACTGAACGGAACCTCCGCTTTCTCAAAATTGTTGTCGTCATTTAAAGCAGCGCGAGCCGCGTCCGTGAGCTGTTCCCACATGATCAAGTCCTGGTACTCGCCATCCCTAACGCCAAAATTCAAATACGGGGAGCCCAGCTCCATCTGATATCCAAAGCGGAGAGACGTGTTGGAACCATAGGTGTAAGTGCGAAAGCGTCCCTGGCCCATCATTTGGAAACCGGCAAAATCGGATGCGAACAGTTCGAGCCGCTTGTCGTACTTTGTGTCGGACTTGGACATGGAGACTCCTACGATCTTAGGCACCTCCAGATCGGGATTGTCGATCCACACAACGACACTCTTCCAGTCATGGCGACGTGTAGGGAAACCAACCCAAAAACCTTTCGGGAAGTACCAAGCGTACATGATGGCCCATACATCCTTATACCACCCAGCTCGACCATAGACCTGGGACCCTAAAGGGGCAGACTTGCACGCGTCGTTGCCATTCGAACCCTTGAGACCTCCAGTGGTTTCACCGGCATCATTCACAGCAGGATACGACACGCACACGCCCTCTGGGATGTACAGTTGTGGCTTGAACTTGATGGCAGCTTTTTCAGAAATTGTGACCGGTTCGGGTTGAGGAAAGGGCTGGATTTTGTCATGATCGACGGTTGCAATAGCACAGGTGACCAGTGCTGCGAAGAGCGTGGCAAGAGCTTGTAGGTTCATCTCGTCCTGGAAAAAAAAACGAGAATGAGCTGAATCGACGACGCTACCTGGAACACAATCTAAAACAGAAACATATGAGAACGTAATTTAAGATGAGAGTTCGTATAATCCTCAGGTGTTTACCTCGATGATAAAGTTCAGGTCACGAATGGTATACCATATACTAATACTAATCTGATTTGAGCTGTGCTATATTATAGCACAGCCCAAATTAGATTATTTGTACGCACCAGTATACCAATATCGTATCGGTGCCAAAACGGGCTCCTAGTGGGCTTAATTGTATCCACTGGTATACTGATGACATATGCTCATTTTTTATGGACAGCACTGCCGTTGTAGTGAAGAGACACACCTTGGAAAGGATATCCTGGAAGGTCAGCTAAAAGCTGGGTGGACAGCCTCACCGACAGTAATTCGGCCAGGCGCTGTTGTCGTCTGATCCTCTAACAACCCTTCGCTCAACCGTGACATTTTCTATTTGAAATTGCAATAATTGATGCGAAATGATTATTATGTTTAAACAATTTCAATATTTTAAAAAGTTTTGTACTGGAATAGTATCCATTCTCACCACCTGCAGAGATATTGCCAATTTTCGAGTGAGTATACAGTCTCGACGTGCATTGTATCTAGCACTTCTTAATTAACATTGCAAGGAATTGAAGGTGTATCGTTGATGACGGCATTGCAACAGATTGCACAGATTTATGTGCTATGGATGTGAAGAATCAACTGGACTGAAGTGACAAGCTGAACGATGAAAAGCTATCATTGGCTCTGTAAAAACTGCAAGTGCTGTAAAATACGCACGAGTCGTCGGGTATTTAGCATTAATCTACCTGAGTTGATAGATGAAGGGAGTTTGTTGTGTACGATCTGTTTGTACAGGCTGACAAGATTCTAGACGTAGCCTGGATGCTATAAAAAATGTTGTCGAGACTACGCGGGTTGACGGTAGTGCAACGTGCACTTCGCAGGTGCGCGTCATTGACGCACATAGTGAAGGAAGCCCATAACTTCATTGAGGGGATTCCGAAAAAAAATACTCATAAATTTGCATTCGAATTTCTAATTTATAACTAACCCCAAGCCATACCGGCGTAATCGCAGATTTAGGTGTATTTACAACTCCCATAAGTATTTCCTGAGCCATGTTTCTTGTGGAAACCATAAAATACCAATGTTGGTGGTTTGAGCGAGTATCGTACTTGCTCAAATTGTAGATTTGGAGTAAGAGAGTTGTCATATTGGCTAATGTGTTGGCATGAGGGCCTGTGTGTTGGCTTTGTGGCGAATTTTCGAATGTTCGCCTTTTACGCGTTGCTGTTTTGTACTCACATATGAGCTTCAGAACAAAATAAACGCCGTTTTCCATTGCCGTACTTCCGTGCTTGACTGGCAAGTATTTGCCCAGAACCATTAAAATAATTAAATTATCAATTTCTCGACAACCTGAAAAATGTATTAATCTGAAAAGTGCATTTTCGGAACCCCTGTATTACTGGAAAAGGCTCAACGACAGAGCTGGCCATGTAGAGGGGGCACAGGTACCTAGCGGGTCGTGCGCAAACCGTTTGTTTCTTCGTTTTTTAGTCACAATGGCAATTCCAGCAGCTTACTCAGATTTACATTAGACAATCATTTTCAGCATTTTCGCCTACATTTTGCAGTGTACACCCACCGTGCACTGTAACCTCACCCACGGGCATAAAATTTCCTTCCATGTTGGTGTTCTCAGAGCTTGTTAAACTCAGATCTGTTTGCATGTTTGTTTGGAAAAAAAATCATGCAAAAGATAATGGAAGTATCGAGCCCGTGCCCTAAAATGATTTAGATCGGGGTAGATTACTTGGTAGAAGTACTTGGTAGCATACCATTGGCAAGTGATGGTTGTTCATGGCCTCCCAGCTTAAAGCCACCGGCCTCTAGGGCCAGGCGCAATTGTTGCCTGATCCTCTAAGAATCTTTGCTCACCATGATATTCTTCAATTTGAGATTTCATCATTTTTGTTAAAGTAGTATGCATGTTTAACAAAAATAATTAAAATCACCTCCTTTACACCCAATGAGACTGTATATAACTAGTTAACAAAATAGCTAAGGTGTAAAGGGTAAGTATCTTTAAAGAGTTTAAGAGCTAACTTTATAGTAAAAATACTCTTTCTAAAAGTATCATAATAATTGAATAATAGTTGCAAGGCTGCTCGTGAAACCTTTCGCAAAGTGTTCGAGCAACTAACACAATTTGCGAAGGGTTTCACAAACAGCCTTGCAACTATTTTTCCAGAACTCTTGAGGCACTAGTAACTAGCTAGACTTGAAACTAACCTACACTTATTCCAGGACCTCTCTTATTTCTAGTAAGTGAGAACCTCTTCGCCGGAAATAAGTACTGCAATTCAACAAATTATTTGAGAATTTGCAATAAATATGTTTATTATTGGGTTCCATACAATAAATTTGACCCAATTATTGACAATAAATAAATAAAAGAACTCCAGAGCAAAATTTGAAGAAATCAAGTGATCTTTACAATGTCTTTACACGTACTGCATGTTTAATGGCGTGTTTCTACCGTGACGACACGGTATTGTCTCACTTAGCATAAACTAAGTAACTGAAAAATTAATTTCGCAATAATAGTGCCTTGATGCCGTGTGAACAGTGAATGCTTATATGGCTTTCAGAAATCGCGATACCCAATTAAAGCATACAATTATATGCAGACAAAATATCAGATCTCGACCTGAAACTGTTCTTAAACTAAAACTCCCGTAGTGCTGTTGGCTCCAGTATGACTTGGGTCTTGTTACATTAATGTGTTACGCTTTCGTAGTCCGGAACCACATTACTACTTCGAAAATTTTGATGCCGACATTTTTAAAATCTCGAAAAGAATGAAATATTGTAACACGACAGCGTAGGGCTATATATATTATAGCAATGATAAAGAGCTTGGTGATGCAAAAGTGATAGCACAGTTCTCGAATATATTGGGCAATAAAGTATATTGTTTTACACAAAACTGAAATCATTATTATTGCCAACACTAAATTTTATACTGTCTTGATGGACCCCTGCTTTATAACTCCGCCTCGACGCTCACACTTACAGATCGATTTTGGTGCTACATGTATGATCGCGCGATGGAGCTTCTGATATCGGCAGTACTACTTCCAGTTAGAACCTTAATAAAAACAACTCGATAAGCTAGAATAGCATGACGTGAACAATTCTAGGCACGTTTGGCAATAGTGTACTGATTTTGTATTTGATGCCGTTTGTCGGATAATACATTTTATCCAGATTATGGGAGGAGCAGGTGAGCAAGACAACAAGTTTGATGAGGCAAATAACGCGGCTTTTGCTGCCCAGTCACTATGTCGACTTATATCGACTTGCTTCCTACTCTGCTGATGCTAACAATCACCAGTCCACAAAAACCTAAACACCCTTATTCGTTTATAGATACATAGTTCACCTTCACTATTATAAGATTCCACCTTTGCACTTGTTGCTCTAATCATGTTCGGTTTCTGCGTCTTGGTCGGGTACAACCGCAGCGATGCCTTTTACGATGCCCCATTATTACCAGACTCAGATTCAAATTTTGCAGCTAACCAGCAAGAATGCCAGGCCTCCCAGCCTAAAGTCAACGGCCTCTTGTTTAAAATAAGAATATTCTAACGGTTTTAAAGCATACTTTAGTATCTTTCGAACGAACAGATTCGGCAAAGCCACACTGCGGCAGCGAATCAGGCGCAGGAGATGCATAGTAACCGGAAGTCTCATTGTCAGGACTCCAAACCTAAAGTTGCTTATATTTTGTAAAAAAAAAATTCGAACGAAGCAAAACTTTGGCATTACTCAGAGGGATCTAACTCTTTGTAGCTAAGCCAAATTACTTCAATTTGTATCATACGCTAATAACAAATAAGGGTCAATTCCGTAGCATTTTTGATATCCTATATCCATCCCAGTCTTCGCGAAGGCTTAGTAGATTATTAGGTTTATAGTAATTTTTGCAGCATGCTTCCCGGTTCACCAGGGTTGACTGAGCTCTAGTGTCTTTGCGTTGTAATCTAAGTTTAGTTGGACGATGTCATGGTCAGCATTCGCACTCCCTACTGCCTCACTTGCTCGAGTGCCGCGTTGAGCGATCTGACGTTGCTAAGTGAGCATTAATCACGGCTGAGCGCGTTTTTTGTCCGTAGCTTGTAATCAAAGCCTGGGTGTCTTTCCGGTTGGTGCAACTATATAATTCCATTATTTTGTCCAAAGCCGATGGAATCCTTTTTGTCCGAGAATCCCATCTTTTGTCATCAACTTGCACTTCTTTTGTCGGTCGATGGTAGTAAAAAAAAAAATATTAAGGAATAGAGCAACGGTAGAATACAAGTAATGCTGTGCAATCAAATTTCAATTACAGTACTTCACAAAACAAATGCATAGTAGAAACGGTATACTCATTATCGTGTGTTTTATCTAATTTTAAATAAGGAAATCCTCATTTAACGTTAGGATGATTTTTTTGAACACAAAGCGGGCTTCGCTTCATAATTTTAATTACAAACAATTTTTTTTTAAGAATAGCAGAACTGATTATCTTGAAAAATAGGAGTCAAGAGAAAAAACGAGAACGAATTTCTACTTGTAAGAAAGATAAATGTTTACTTAAGTATGTAGTTTCTAAATACTCCGCCCCCATCCCCCCATCCCTCTCTCTCACAACCTTTATTTTTAGTAAATAGATAAAATAAATAAAATCAAGGTCAGCGCGTTCTGTAACGACGTTACGATCTCGATAACTGATGCAGCAGTTGCTTCGATTGTATCATATCACCAGAAAATGTTAAAAAAAAAATTACACATTATACTCCGGTTGATGCAGCGCACGCAATTCTCCATTACTTCCGATGAAGAGATGTCGTCATGATACGTTATCTGGAAAGCGAGTTCAAGCTAATAAACAAAGGCTTTTGACCAATGAGCATGTTGTTTTTGTGTCCAACGCTTTATTTTGTACTGTCGCAATTTACAAAATAAAAAAAGTTTAGAACATGCCAACCTTACTCCTGATAGAGAACTACACAGCTATTTCACTAGGACACTTTCTATTAAAATAGTATACGCCTTACGTTGCTGCCACTGCCTCATGCATCGGACCGGAATCTCACGTGTCATCATGGAAGTTAGATTGGAAACCGAAATTACTTTCTAATATAAATTAAAATTACGTGAACAATTTGATGACAACTGGCCGGTGCAACTGTGTATTTCGACAAGCACCAAAGCAGTAACCCAAATCCAGATTTCGGTGCGACCGACACCAGTGGTGCGAAGGCTACTGGTGCGAGAGTTCTGAACACATTCAAAGCCAGTTTTCGTATCATATGTTGGCGTGAGTGTAGTTTAAGAGTGATGTTCGTACCAAAACTTAGATTGTACAGTTCGCTATTAGTCCGAGACTAAGCCTTAATCCGCTTTACAGACAGCCTGCTGCTCGACGTGACGACGAAACAAGCAAAGTTACGAGAAAATAATCGACACCATCCCAACAACGCAGGCCTGGTTTTGCCGGCACTTTGTTGTAGGTCGCTTGATGCGGCACAGTACCATTATTACAGGTTTACCATTCTCATTCGAGCAACCAAGTTTACATGTCAAACTACAGAATTCTTCGTACGTGTTATGGATACCCCAACATTAGGTACAGTAATCCGTCTCCTTGCGTCAGTGCTGCAGGCAGTTCTTTGCCTAGTCGTCATGTTGGTTTTGTTCAAAAACTCGGTATTTGGGAAAGAAAAAGATTTGTAGAACGAAACGCCAGATGAGCGCCGTTGATTCTTCACCGCTCGGCCGTGGCACTGGAGCCTCTGGCATTCTAAGATTTACGTGGCAGCACTCGCATTTGCCGAAATCTATCGTTTCGAAATGAGTAACAAACGATTCACTATGAACCCTTTCGGGGACTTGAGCCTGACTACCGAAGACCGTGGCAAGCTTGTGGATATCGTCAACACTCTCGTGCTGGCAAGATTTGAACAGTATGAAGAGTATCTGAACAACAACAAGGACGTTGACATGACCCGATGGAAAAAGTTCAAGACATCAGGCCCCGTTACGACATACCTCGAGCGTAAGAAGAGCTCAGACACGAATCTACCTGAAATGCTGATGACCGGCCCACTAAACGGCACTCTGGACGAGAACATGTTTGGTATGGTCAACCCAACTCTCGAGTCGATGCGAATCAAGGCGTCGTACCTCAACGACTTTAGTGCTGCCGCCGTATTAGCCACTGTTGTTGAGCCAACGGAGGAGGAACCATTTAACGCAATTGTGGTCAAGTGGATGGAGATTGACATCCCGGGCGCCTCGATCGGGATCGTACGAAATCGCGACTACGTCTACGTGGAGAGCACGGGCATCATGCACTTGAAGAATGGTGATCGTGTCGGCTACCACATACTCCATTCTGTCAACTTTCCAGAAACACACGAGTTACCGCACAAAGTTCGCGGAAGTATGTCGCTAAGCGCAATTTTCCACCAAGAAGGTCCCGATCGAACAGACTGCCGTGGTGCGGGTATAATGGACCCGAAGGGTGATATGATCGGCATGATGGCGGTAACGGGGATGGTGCATGCGACCATGGCAGGCCTGAAATACTCCTATTGTGGCCAGATGAAGAAACTCGCGTGGATGTTAGAGCAGAGTCAAGCCGAGCCCAGAGAGCGAGGTGCGCCAGTTCTGCAACCCGTGTGTGTGACGTGCATGAAGCTGATCAAGAACTCGAAACTTAGAGAGCTGCGCAAGTCGAGCACCACGTGTAAGTTGTGTTTCGGGACTCTGTGCGGTTCGTGTAAGGTTTCCAAGAAACTGAGCTTTATTTCCCTGGATCTGGAGCTCATTCAGCGGAAGGTGGCGTTTTGTGTAAAGTGCTTGCTAAAAGCAACTCGCATGGACACTCTGAAGGCTGCTCGTCAGCAATTTGTTTACAAGGAACCTGTTCTACCGATTGCATACGGATCTTTCGAGATGAGCTCAAGCTCGGACTGCTCGTCTTGACACCAACGTTGACAGGGTAGTTGAAAACGAATGAGCAATACAAAAGTACATGTACTTTGATCGTTAATCCTTTTAATGAGCGTAATTTGGTGATTCAGTGTTTACTGTAGTTCGTGTGGTATGGTCACTGTTCTTCGCCACGGGATGAAGATTGCGTGTTCTCCATTCTTGTGCGTATCCGAGATAGCTATTCATGAGAACGTCAACTTGTTATGGAGAACCGATCGTATCGTTCGAGCGAGAACTCATATAGGACGCGGCAAGAGAACCGTATGAGCCTGGATATATGGGTTGCTTATACACGAATTGATGGCGAGCAGCCTCCAGCGTGTCCAGACGAGATGCTTCCATTAAGCATTTCACACAAAAAGTAACTCGGCGCTGAGAAAGTTCTAGGTCGGGTGAGATAAAACTCAACTTCTTGGAAACCTTGCACGACCCACATAACGCCCCGAAGCACAACTTGCATGTGCTGCTTGCTCTGCCAATTCTCATTCTCGAGGCTGTAGTTGGATTCGAACATGTCATGCACACTGGTTTAACGACTGGGGCACTTTGTTCCCTCATAGCTGCATGCTTCTGCTCCAGCAGCCACGCCAGCTTCTTCATCTGTCCGCAGTAGGAATATTTCAGGCCCGCCATTGTAGCTTGAACCATTCCTGCCACAGCCATCATTCGGATCATATCTCCCTTTGGATCCATGACACCTGTTCCAAAGCAATCCGTTCGATCTGTACCCTCCTGGTGGAAAATAGCACAGAGTGACATGTTACCGCGTACTCGGCCTGGAAGCTCACGCGTTTCTGGAAAGTTGACAGAGTGGAAAAGATGGTACCCCACTCGTTCACCATTTTGTAGATGAAGGATGCCTGAACTCTCCACGTAAATGTAGTCACGATTGCGAACGATGCCAATTGATGCTCCGGGGATATCAATCTCCATCCACTTAACCACTACAGCCCGGAATGGTTCCTCTTTTGTTGGCTCCACCACTGTTGTTAACACAGCGCCAGCACTGAAGTCGTTGAGATACGACGCCTTGATCCGCATCGATTCGAGAGTTGGGTTGACAAGACCAAACATGTTCTCGTCCAGAGTGCCGGGTAGGGGACCCAGCATGCGCATTTCGGGCAAATTGGAGTCCGGATTCGACTTCTCCCTCTCAAGGTATGTCGTCGTCGCGCCCGAAGTCTTGAACTTTTTCCAGCGAGCAAGGTCCACTCGTTTCTCGTTTTGTAGGTACTGTTCATACTCCTCAAACTTGGCATGAACCAGGGCATCGGTAATCTCCACGAGCTTGGCGCGGTCTTCCTCCGCTAGAGTTAATTCCCCGAACGGGTTGAGGGTGAAGCGTCGGTTGCTCATTTTGTCAGCCTTGCCAGATTGGCCGCCGCAATGCCTGCCTCGCAAGTCGGAAAATGGTGTACCGTAAGCTCCATTAGCGTTATCCTACGCAAATCTCGAAGATGGCCAGGTGGTGCCCGCTCTCACTTTTTAACAACACCAACAAGACAACTTTGCCTCGCGACTTGTCGTGGCAGTGGCGGCTCGACGGGAGCATCAGCCTCGACGTATCGGAAACGCGAAAGAAGGTTCTCCTCTCCGTCTTGGGCACCCTGGATATTAATGACTTTTTCACCATGTTGCACCCCACCTCCAAGGAACTCCAACCAACACTAGTGCGCGACAACTATCGTATGTGAGAGCGTATTGTTCCTACAGTTCCGTGCGATCTTGAAAACTGTGTTGTTAAGTCAAAATAGCCTGGCTGACATACTGTACGTATTGTAACGCTCAAGGCAGATCAAAGCACTCTTGGCTGGTTCTAAACAACGACGAGCGTGTGTGAGGCGCCGCACACCATTCGATGGACAACACCGGCCTCTTCTACCCATTCCACGCGCCTCTCCTGCACTTCGGCTGTCGTTGATCCAGCGTCGGCCGATGGTTGCGAGAAGCTAGAATAGGATACCAGTAGTGCTCCACTTCTTGACAAGAGTGTGTAGTGAGCTTCGCCACAAGATACCGCGGTGATTTGGCCAAAGAACTCACGCTCGAGTGTCGGCGACAGCGTCAGCAGCGTTGGCGATAGAAGAAGCTTCTCAATGTCCAATGAGGGATCCCGTCCGCAGATGTACGCGGTTCCATTTTGCAACAAGAAAATAGAGAAGTCATTTCCACCTGCTATGTCGATCAGTCCGCAATTTTCCGAGATTGCTGCCGAGATCGCCATCACCTGCTTTGGTTCGCTAACGTCCATATAACATCCATGGCCGAGCTGGCCAGAATCCCCACGCCCCCATGTAAATCCTGCGCCGTCGCTACTGATCGCAAGGGAATGATCCTTTCCTGCTGCAATACGGCGGACAATATACCTCTCTCCATTACCAATTCTAGACTTCATATCCATTGCCCACCCTGTCCAGTCCGCATCAATCTGTCTCGGTTGCTGGATATGGGAAGTTTGCATTGCAAGCCAACAGAGAATCAAAACATCGTCAGAAGATAATCACAAAATGTGCCAAGATTAGCAACTTACCACCATATCTAGCAAGCCCTCCGCAGCACGACCAAGCTTCCCATATTTATTGCAGCCCCACGAAAACACGCGGCCGTCTGATGACAGAGCTAGCGAATGGTACTCACCACAAGCCACAGAGCTCATATACATCCCTCGAAGATCACCAACAACGGACGGCGTCACAACTGCAGTGGATGGAGTTCCTGGCGACAGAAATCCCAGTTGACCTCTAGAATTGCTTCCCCAGGCAAAGACATGTCCGTTGAGATCTGTAACCAGAGTGTGAAAAGCTCCACACGAAACTTGAATAATTGTGTGCTGCTGTAGCGCAAATACACGCTGCGGGGTGCTGACTCGCCGAGAATCGCCATCGGCAATAGTGTAACCCAAACGACCGCCGCTACTGTCGCCCCAAGTAAACAGATTTCCATCCTCCATCACCGAAGCAAAAAACCGTTGGCCACTACCAACTTGAATTATGTTGGTATCATTACTCGACTCGCCAACAACGAATTCAACAGGGTGAACAGCAAGTGCACCGTTCGATGAAGCATCAATAGAAGTGCCGTTTATCACATCCGTGCCTTGACTAGACGTGGACCATTCTCCAATAATGGATAACCGCTTCACAGATCTCGATTCACTAGCAACAGAGCTATTGGATTCAGCAAGAATCGTGTGCGGAGTCTCTTGTCCAGTTTCAGTCCCAGTATCTCGTCGCGCAAGCTCCACGTTCTCCACGGCCTTCCTAAGATCTCGTCGAATCTTATGGACAGCTCGTACGCACTTTGATTCTTCAATAATCTGTGAACAACGAATTCCAGCATTTCCGCCTTGTAAAGCAAGATCTGCACAGTCCTTGCAGTCGTCGTCGTGATCCCCACGCATCAAGAAATATTCAATAGCCACTTGAAAGTTCGCTATCGTGAAGCCCAATGCTGTCGTGTTGGAGTTGATAAAATGATAATCCGAGATGTACTTTATCACAGCCGCGATAGGAAACGGCGAAGCTGGCCCCGAAGCGTCCTCTGCTGTCTCCCGCAGAACTTTATTGAAGGCTTGCACCAGCACGAAGAGTAGCTGATCCAAAATATCGTCTGTCGTCAATTGATACGCTTCTGTAACAGCAAAAATCATAAATGAATCAGAGACAACACAATTTCCAAGCACCTGAGAAAAGCAGGGCCACCTTACCAAAGTCTAATCTACGCAGCTTGACATTCCGTGTAATTGCATCGCTGACTCGATCAATACATGTCTTAAAAACCAGTAGCATGTCTAACGGCGTCTTCTTCTGTGTAACAGTTAGAAGCGTGTCTCGTGCTTCCGCAGCGAAGCACTATTCGTATGCAAAGTTAGCAACAATGTTAGTCTACTGATTTAACCACAGTCTTCATCTTTTTTCGTTCGTACCTGGAACTCCTTCCTCAGTCCAAAATCTTCTGGCGTATAGTGCCTCATACGATACAAAACCTGTTGCAGTTTCTTATCCTGCTCTCGACAGCTCGCTACAATTCTCGGAAATATCACGTCGTGCAGACTCTCCATTAAATAGCACTCTACCACTTGCTGTATCTGCAGCAAATGACTCACTCCTCCTCCGTGTCTTCTCTGCAACCTATAGTCCTCCTCGATATCATCAAAACTCCCCGCGTGGATCAGCTCTTCCACTGCAGTTTCCCACTCCTCTTTCAAGTTTGCTGGAAGTGTCTGTTTGTACCTCTCGTACACTTGTTCCTGTACACAAATTTTGTGCACTTGACTAATAGTTTCTTCTAGCTGATAGAAGATCAGCTCGTTTTCCGGAAACGATCTGAGGATGGCTGTATATTTTCTCAAGGTAGCGACATCAATCTCACTGGGGTCTTCCGGTACCTCGAGACCGCCCTCTAGCGGCCGACTGATGTGCAGCACCGTCACTTCCTGATGATGGATCTCCCTCTTCTCGGATAGCAAGATACGCACTTGTCTGCGGTCGCTGAAGCCCTTCCCAGTGTGAATATGGGAGCCCAAGACCGCCACTTGCTTGCCTTTTCAGAGCACAAGTTGAAGCGATCACATATCTGAGAATAAAAAAATGAATGGCAAAATAGCAATTATAACAAAAGGAGTTTACCGTTGAGAGAATCATAGGAACCAAGAGATCGTTCCGGCTCGTCGCCTGCAGGAGTGAGGAAGTGCGTGTATAGCGCGTCTTGAGTGATAGCTTCGTCCGCAAGCAGCGAGCGTGGCTGCGGCACGCAAAACAAACAGCGCGGGGCCAGGGCACGCTGCGTCTGCTCCAAGTCCGCACCCAAGGCGCGCAGGAAAACGTCACCCATAGTAAATGTAAGTGTTCTCAGAAACGAGTGCGGAAACCATTGTTGGTGTGTACAGCATAAAGTAAATCCGCCAATCAGAAGGAGAGTTGAAGTATGACAATCACTCTTGTAGGCATGCAAGACAGCTTGAAAAGACAAGACTCTTGACATTACTGTTGGGTGTTATGCGCGACACTACTCTTCGATGCAGGCACATGCAGGTCACTAACTACAGGTGCACAGGTATATGCAGCCATGCAAGGCGCCACCCTTCCTCGTCTTCCTCGTCATGTGCTGCGTCCTCTGTTTTACAGGCGAGGTCGCAATCACTTCTCCGTTTAACGGCGCAGCATGGGGTGCTCGGGGGGACTCTCCGGTTCCCAGCGGTCCTGAACCCAGCAATCGTTCTGGATCCAGTCCACAGCGTTCTGGAAGTGCGGTGGCTGTTCATACACGCCGTAATAGCCAAACTGCAAGCACAAACACGACACACACAAGTTAGGCAGCTGATCAACCACTCTGGACCAAGACAAACGGCACATACCTTATTCGCGGCCTGAACGATGCAGTCCTGGAGTCCCTTCACGCGCCCAAGCTTAGCCCGAGCCTCTTCCTCAAGCTTCTGCTCCTCCTCTTTCAGCAGAGAAAGCTTGTCCTCGTAGTGCTTGGAGATCCAGTCACGGAACTCGTCCTTGGTCATGTACTTGGACTCCTGGTGAGGTTCACTGGGTTGCTCTTCGGCAATCTCCTGCTTGACCTCCTCCGGCACCTCAGGTACCTCCACAGCAACGTAGCCCTCGTCGGTCTTAATCTCCAGCTTGTCACCTTCCGAAGTCTCGACGACCTTTACCTGCTCCGTCGTGACATCGCCGTGTTCATCAATGATCTGAACAGTCTGCTCACCATGTTCCGGCTCACCCTCAACGACCACCTGAACCTGGTTACCCTCCGGGGTCACAACGTTCACCACCTGTGTGTCATCTGTCGCCGTATTGGCAACCTCAGCCGGGACTTCGGGTACCTCCACAACCGTGGTGCCACCCTCGCCATCCGGAATCACCAGCTTCTCGCCTTCATCAGTCTCCACAGCCTTAACCTCCTTAGTCGTGTAGCCACCTTCATCGTTCAGGATTTTGACCGTCTGCTTGCCGTCTTCGACCTCGCCGACAAGGATCACTTGTTCGTGCTCTCCATTGTCAGCGACCACATCAACCGTCTGAATAACCGGAGCAGGTTCCTCCGGCATGTACGGGTTAAGTTCTTCACCTCTCACCATCTGGTCGATGGTCATCGGAACATCAACAGCAACGTAACCTCCATCGGTCGGGATCTCGAGCTTCTGCTCGCCACTCGCAGTCTCCTCCACACGGACCTCGGTCGTCGTCGTCTGGCCGTACTGGTCGACGATTTTAACCTCCATCGGTCGGGATCTCGAGCTTCTGCTCGCCACTCGCAGTCTCCTCCACACGGACCTCGGTCGTCGTCGTCTGGCCGTACTGGTCGACGATTTCAACGGTCTGCTTGCCGTGCTCCGGTTCTCCTTCAATGATCACCTGCTCAGTCTCGCCAGTCGGGGTCACCACGTCAACCACTTGCGCGGTCTCACCAGTCTTCTCGGCCTCACGCACCACCTCAGCGGGCACCTCAGGTACTATCACAGGAGTGTCGACTTCAGGAAGCTCAATCTTCGTCTCA